ATGGAGAGTTATGGAGATTAGGACTTTGGAACGAGTTGATGCCATAACAGATTGGAAATGCTAAAATCGCTTGATGAAATGCGGGGACCAACGTAAGTACCGCGGCAAAGTCAACAGAAAAGGAATAAATCACTTTGTGACTTAGTTTGAGTCACGGAGAAATCCAAAATGATGGTAACCATCCAAGTCCACAGAATGATAAACGCATACCTCGGGCGTTCTACAAACCCAGAAAGCTACCTTAACCATATTTGCATTTCTAATTATCACGTAATGAAATACTCGAGGTTACTTTCATGCATTTGAACCGTTGTAAGTGTATTTGCAATTAAGACAGCTTCGTAGGGTATCTGGTCAATTCGCTACCACAAAAACTTGCCACCATAAAACTCGCCACCAGTGAATTAAAGTGCTCTTGGAAGTTCTTGTATTAATCGTAGCGTGTTTTCCTCGTTCGGTGATTTTTCCATATTATTGAGACCAAGCTTTGATGAACTTCTTTCTTGTGACTTGGTTAGGCATGTACCCATAATCATTCAAAATCACACAAAAAAAAAAAGACAAAGAAAGCCAAGAAACATAGGAAAGGGTCAAGATCTCGATCGCCCAGTGGGGTAAGTTATTGCTTAGTGATTGATTGATTGCTTGGTTGATTGATTGATTGTCGGACTTGACGGGCTGTATTACGACCAATTAACTGACTGCTCTTTTACAACCTAGTCCTTGCATTTATGAAGTTAAGATCCAAAATTAAAAATACATGTAGTTAAGTCACAAGTAATTAGAAGCACCAGGTGAGACCATGAATGAATTGAGGCTTTTCTTATTTTGATTTAGTCTTTTTACATTTATTGGAGTCGTCTCAATCTGAGGAAGAATTTTCCAAAGAAAAAACATCATGACACAAAAAGAAACATCACAAGCGGTCATGCTTTAAGTCACCAGAATCATCTGCTTCCGAACCGGGTTAGTTCAATTCTCAAAAACATGCTTCGGTTTCGTAAAATGTAGTCACGTAAAATGTTGTCATAGTAAATTACTTCCCGCTTTGTCAGTCATAATTCTAAGTATTGTTAACTTCGTTGATTTCAGAACAAGAAACAGAACTAAGTTCATCAAAAAAGAAAAAGCATAAGAAGGTGAGATTTGAGCTACCTTATAGACCTCTATCTTCATTAAAGTTGACACTCTTTTGACTTGTGTTACAACACACTTGTCCTTCATATTTTTTCCCGGGAGTTCCTTGTTTCCTTGTATGAGGGTGTGAATGGGGTTAACCGACTAGCGACGAAGGGCGAAAAATACTACTGACTACCAACAAAACGAGAAAAAAATTTACCGACTACCGACAGAAAAAAAATTAACGGACTACCGACATAGGCCGACATTATCGATATTTGTTTTCAGAAAGATGAGATCAGAAGAGCATTTTGTATTTTTTCTAGTTTACGAAGTAACCACATTAAAGGTAACTATAGAATTTCCCGCCATCTTCTTACTTTTTGGCCGGAAGAGCACGGGATCATTTTGCAGAACAATTTCCGGTACTCGAGCCCACGAAACCTTCCGCTGTAATATTTCAACCGCGTTGTTTGTTCATACGGTCCAGCCATGTCAGCCATGAGTGGAATCATAAAAGTGATAGTGAGTTTTTTCCCGAAAAGGCGAAGAAGTCGCAATCGAACGCCACCGTAGCCGGGTTCCGGTCGACAAAGATAAACACACAAGAGTATTCGAATTTAAAAAAACATCTGACAGAATTTTGGGGATTGAAGGAACAAGCTCTTCAGTTTGGAATTGGTGGTTTCTCCCTGAGGCTCTTTCGCCTGGCAAAATCGTCCACAGGCAAATGCGACAACTTTGCTTTAATGACAGATGGGCAGTGGCAACTAGAACTAATTCGAGCGTATTATGTTCCCTCGAGGGCAAAAAATTCTTTAGGTCTTTTGACAATCCTTAATGAGAACCAAATTGTTTGCCATATGTTATTTTTTTTACATCTCTGAATTTACCTGAGAAGTAAACGGTCGCTTGTAAATGTTACTCTCCCTCCTCATGCTCACTCTCCACGAGAATCACCTTTTAATCACGCTCGCTACCTGAGTTTCCGGCAAGACTGCCAAAATGGCTCTCGTAAATTGTAAAGGTGGCAAAGCGTATGTCAGACTATGTTAATCCTATAGTGCTCATCCAAACGCTGCTTCTTACCCGCTAGTTAATTTTTTCAAATAAATCTTGTTGCCTTTCTCTTGATATTTTTCAGTGCCGTAAATAATAATCTTAATGAGCCTCTTACCTGCAACGGTAATCGCCCAGGGAATTACTTAACTTTACAATGGAATAATGACTCATCGCATACATATCTAAACTCGCTAGCCTTTGGCATGATAATCTCTGGAGAAATTACCTAACTTTAGTCAAGCACTTATTGTGTGCAAAGTTTAAGCTGCTAGGTTGTAAATAATTGGGCCGCCTGTGTTCTCATAAACCCGCCAAATTGATAAGATTTCTAATAGAAAGTAATACCTCTCTATGACGCTTACTTCGCCAGAGCACAGGCGGCCCAAGCTCCAGCTGTGAGATGAGCATCTTGCGCAATAACAG